GCGTGCCTGTAGTTCTAGCTACTTGAATGACTGAGGCGGAAGGATCCCCGGATTCTGGGTTGGTCGTTTGTGTGCCACTGCACTCCTGCCTGGGTGACAGAGTGAGATTGACCAAAAAAAAAAAGCCGGGCTCGGTGGCTCAGCCTGTAATCCCACGCCTTTGGGAGGCTGCAGTGAGTGGATTGACTGAGCCCGCGGGTTCGAGACCCACCTGAGCAGTGAGACCTCATCTCTACAATAAATAAAAAAAGCAGCCAGGCGTGGTAGTGCACCCCTGTAGTTCCGGCTACTTGGAAGGCTGAGGTGGAAGGATCGCCGGAGCCCAGCAGGTCGAGGCTGCGGTGGCCGGGAATGGCCACTGCACTCCAGTGTGGGTGACAGAGTGAGACTCCAACTCAAAAAAAAAACCAAATGTAATGGATGCTTTCATACACGTGTGAAACTCAACAATTAATCTATCACACTTTCTGGTGGAAATATATTGATCTCCACAGTTAAGAGAGAAATGTTTTCCTCATGTTGTTATGTAATGTTGGGGTGGAGAAAGGAGGGATGGGGAACATTACCCCAGACCCTCCCTCCGTTGGCTCCGCCAGCCAGTCAGATCCTCCCCACCACTCTTGTGTCCTGAACTCATGTGTCCTGAACATGTGGAAAGAAGGGCTGTTGACAGAGGCCTCAGCTGGTGAGGTCAGATGGGACAAGTCCCCAGGGTCCCAGCCTAGCCTCACCCACACCAAGGGCACCAGGCACAGCTGCCGATGGGGAGGTGTTCACTATCAGCTGAGATGAGGCTGGTCCCTCCACAGCCGGGTCATCCAAGTCCTTCCACTTCCCCCCTCGTGATACCCCGGCATACTTACCTTCTCCCGACTTCCGGATGTCCCAGCAACCTCACCAAGGGCTTCCACATCCTGCAGATCACAGGGCAACAGGTTGAAGCGAAGACACCCGTGGGTGCCAAGGTACAAGACACTGCAGAAAGGACAACCCAACTCTGCATAGGCGCAGGAGACGAAGGCCCAAAAACTGCCCTCAATTCCAGCTCCCGTCTGATTCACCAGTTCAGACCTCACAGTCCATTGATTGGAAAAGCCTTTAAGTCCCGCCCTTCTGGTCTTGACTGACAGGAGGTACAAAACGATAAGGACTCCATAGGCAAAAATGCCTTTGGATTTCTCATTGCCCTGGAGTCTGGGCAGAAGGGTGGGGGGAGGAGGCTTGTGGGTCCCTTTGGGGCATGATGGGAGTTTTTGGCGCTCCTGGTTGGTGGGTCGCTGGACTGTAGGTCTTCATCGCCTTTCCTGGGACATGCTGGAATTGTAGTCCTGCAGTTCTGCAACCCACCAACTGGGAGCCATGGAGACATCAGTGTTCCCAGCAATTCCTGTAAGGGGCCCCCTCACAAATTCCTACCACATTCCTTAGCTGGGAGAAATATCAACATTTTCTTGTCTCGTGAAGCCCACATCTGAATGCATGTCTTGTCACTGAAGACCAGATGGCCTGGAGTTTTATCCAATCAACTGATGCTGGGGTTTGAAATGGCGAATCAGACAGGAGCTGAAAGTGGGGGCAGCTTCTGGGCTCTTACAGGGCCTTAGTTTCTTTCATCAACCTCGCGTGTTTAGCCTGTGTTGCCCTGTGACATGCAGGTCCTGGGAGATTCGTAGGACGGACACTGAGACCCTCAGAAGGTGGGAGGTGGTGAGTGTGCCGGGAGGTTTCCCGAGAGGGGGAGTGTGGATGGACTCAGATGACCTGGCTTTTTAAGGACTGTCCCCTCCGTCAGCTCTGAGACTGGACGCTTCCCCACCGGTGACTTAACCCGGTCCCCTAGGTGTAGGTGGGCCTGGGCCGTGACCCTGTAGTCTTGACCTTCAATGACATCGCCTGCTGAGCACTCTCTGTGCAGCTTACCATCTTGAAGTGTGCCGAACCCGCGAGGGTTGTGGAAAGGATCCGACCTGCATGGGGGGCTGGTGGGGGGAAGGGGAGGTTATGATCCTGGCCCACTCCCTCTCTCCTCCCCAGAGTTAAATGGTGGCTCCATCACAACGTTAAGGAGGCCTCTTGGCCAACAGTGGTTCTTGAGTCCAGAAACACCAGCCAGGACTCGTGTGGGGATCCCGGAGGGCCTGGAAGGAAAGGATTTGAGAAGGTCAAGGGGAAGCCAGGATGGGCAAGTGCTGTTGGGTGACAGTCCTGCAGTGGCCTTACCTGAATTATCTAGGTGGAAATCTCCAGGGTCTATCACTAGTATCATTGGACATTTGTGTCACCAGGTCCAAATCCGGTTCTGTTGACATAAGGAGTTGGAGCAGCGGTTGTGACTTTATTTAGTAGGGACACTAAAACCAAGGAAATGAGGGGTGGCATTCTAAAGCCCCCTCCAGGGTTGTGTGTGCTTTTTCAAAATTTTTATCCAGGCTGTAGGACCAAGAGCGGCTAAGATCAAGAGGTAGATTAGACTTGCAGACATCTGGGAGATGAGAGGAGTCCTGGAAATTGGTGAATTATCTTTGTCCTTGGTTCACAGCCTTCTTGTTCCTTTATTAAACAAAACAGAGTTAGTACACTACTCCCACTTTCCCAGAGTTAGTCTGAACAGCTGCATACTGGTGCCAACCTTGTCAGCATTCAAAATTATTTTAGCTACATGGAAACACATAAAGAGACCAGAGATCCCCCCCCACACACACACCTTAGTTTAAAATGGAGTTATGTCAAACTTTTGTGAGTTGACTATCCCATTTTGGATTGATACGGTCTAAGTTTTAGATTATTTAAATTGGTAACTTAAAAAATTTATTTTTTGGCGACTGGTTTCTGTGCACTTGTAGACACATCACTGTTCTTGAGGGGCAAAGATAAAATTGATATCTCTCCTCTGGAATATTTTGCATTTGTAAAGAAGGAAAACTATTCTAAAGTACAAAGTAGACCCACCTCAGAGAGATGGTGGAAGAATCAAATGAAAGAGAACCTCAGGCAAACAGGAGAGCAAGCGTGGGGCTCCCAAGAGGGTGGTAAGACTGACAAAAAATAAATACATTCCATTTAATTTTGAAATAAGTAAAGGCATATTTTCAAAATGTAGGTGTAACAATGAGATAATCTCACCTGAGAAGAAATCCCAGAGAAGTAGGACGAAAAAGAAAAAAATGGCTGTTTCTCAGGTAAAAAAATATGTCCTAGATCAGAAGGAATATCATGTGTGTAAAACTCGCAAACCAAGCTGCTGTCCATGTGTTGGTCCTGCCTAATGAGTTTGTTTCAACTATTTTTGTTCTTTCTGTGATATTCAATGGGTCTGTCAGACACTGCTCCTACATAGCCTCTTCTGTTCTCTTCAACCAAACTGCTTAGTTGTCATAAATTATTCTCCTCATGAATGTATGACCTGCATTACTCAAAATGTTCCCTTGTTACTGGGGGTCATTGGAAGGCTTTGTAACCAAGAATCACATTGGAAGTTGGATAGATCCTCAGATCCTAATGAAGGATAGAAACATGTATGTATATATATATTAAATGTAGTCTTCCTCTGTTGTCCAGAATGAAATGCACTGGCACACTCATGGGCACCAGAGCTCAGTTATTTTTTTAATTTATTGTAGAGACGAGGTCTTGCCAAGTTTCCTGAACACCCAAGAGTTCAGGAAATTCTTTTGCCACAGCCTCCCATCATGCTGGGATTATAGGCATGAGCCTCTGCTCCTAGCCAGAACATGTACTGTTAAGGTTCTTTGTAGATGCTCCATCAGCTCCATGCAGAACACAGTTAATAAAATGTATATTTAAACAGAATGGCAGTTACTGCTCAAAATCACTCTGGAAAGTCTGAATAAAGAATAATTAGAAGAGATTTACTCTCTAGGATGCCAAAAACTAAAAATACAAATATGATTTCAGAGATTACATGCCATGGAAAATACCTGTAGGCTGATTTCTTTGTAACACGAACTTGCTTGTTATTAAGTTGAGATTATAAATTACTATAATTTATATAATTATATGGATGGGTGTGGTGACTCAGCCTGTAATCCGAACACTTTGGGAGGCTGAGGCAACAGACTTGCCTGAACCTGTGTTCTGAGAACAGTTTGGGCATTTGGTGAGACCTTGTCTCTGCAGTAAATTACAAAAACCAGCCAGGCATGATTGCAAGTGTGTGTAGTTCTAGATACTTGGAAGGCTGAGGCAAAAGGATTGCCTAAGTCCAGCAGGTTGAGGCTGCATTGACCATGAGCATACCACTGCACTTCAGCCTGGGTGAGAAGAGTGAGAATCCAACTCCAAAAATAGTAATAAATTACTATAACTTTTGGCTAAAAGATCTCAGCATGGATGTTGTGGTCCACCTGTGTGTCTTGATATCTGATACCAATTTGTCCCAAATACTTGGGATGCTATGGAGGATGCATTCATTTAGTCTGGGAGATCGATACTGCAAAAAAGTGTGATTATGCCAGGACACCCTAGCCTGGTTCAGAATGAGGCACACCTAGCCAGGCGTACTAGCACACACTCGTAGTTCCAGCTTCTTGGAAGACTGAGGTGGAAGGATCGCCAGATTCCAGCAGATTGAGGCTGTGGTGACTGGTAGCAGCCACTGCACTGCAGTCTGGGTGACAGAGTGGGACTCCAACTCAAAAAAGAAAAAAAAAAAGAATGAGACACACCAAGTGAACAAAACGCAGAACCCAAGGCTTAATCCATGTATTCTGAATCAGAATTTGCATTTTAACAAGATATTCAATTCATTGCTGTACAAATTAAAACTTGACGAGGATCTTTGGACTTACTAGAAGCAGTATATGTAAAACGTATTCTATGTGATATAAGCAGTAATTTAAAATGTACATGCCTGTGTTGGTGTCCATTTTATGCTGTTTCACTCACTAAAATAGAGAGTCTACACTTGTTGAGGGGATTTTATTTCATCCTTTTTCCCCACACTTGATGTATTAGAGGATATTTCTGTGTTATAATTATTTTTTGTTGTATAATAATAGTTGTCTTGTCTGCCGGACCCTGTTCTTTTCACTCTTGCTTTACCTAGAGGCCATGGTGACTTGGTAAATATGTGTTTTTGTTGTTTTCAGGGGTTGTTGTCATTCAAGGATGTGGCCATAGAATTCTCTCCAGAGGAGTGGGCATGCCTAAACTCCCCTCAGCGAATATTGTACAGGACTGTGATGTTAGAGAACCATAGAAACCTGGTTTTTCTAGGTGAGGAAACTTTCAAAACACAATCCCTATTTCATACTAAGGATTTTAAGTCCTTCCTTTGTAGAATGTTTTCTGGGAATTTCTGCTTTGCATGAATGAGTTTCAGATTCCTACAATCAGTGGAAAGTTGGTAATATGTTAACATAGAAAATAATAAATTAATAATGTTTCATTTTGACATGAAGCCTTCTCTATTTTAAATTGACCATTATCCTTCTTTTGCTATATTATTGGTAAGTTCAGAAATTTAATGGCATAGATATCATTGCCCACATCTCATTCCAATTGCTGCCATAAGTTATTGACTCACTAGTAGTGATCTAAGAACTCACAAATTTAAGGCCAGTCATGGTGGCTCAGCCTTGTAGTGCCAGCACTTTAGGAGGCTGAGTTGAGAGGATTGCCAGAGCCCATGGGTTCAAGAATAGCCTGGGCAACTTGGCAAGACTCCATCTCTACACTACATCAAAAAGTTATCTGTGAGTGGTAATGCACACCTGTAGTTCTGGTTACTTGGTAGGCTCAGGGAAAAGAATTACCTGAGCCCAATGGGGGGAGCACTGGGGTGGCTAGGAGCTTTTCACTGCACTCCAGCCTGGGTGACAGAGTAAGACTCCAACTTAGAATAAAAAGAAACCCATAAATTGAAAATTCTATCTAAATGTTCAAAAGATTTCATTGGGAAACCATATTTTGGGGTTAATTATCTAGAGTCTTGTATAATGTGTCCTCTAAAGCCTGGCTCAGGGGCTCAGCCTCTAATCCCATGTGTTTGGGAGGCTGAGGTGAGTGGATTGCCTGAGCCTACAGGTTCGAGACCCGCTTGGGCAGGCGAGACCTCATCTATACAATAAATCAAAAAATTAGCGAGGCGTGGTAGCACGCGCCTCTAGTTCCAGCTTCTCAGGAGCCTGAGGCAGAAGGATTGCTGGAGCCCAGCAGGTCGAGGCTGCGGTGGCCGGGAGCAGCTACTGCACTCCAGTCTGGGCGACAGAGTGAGATTCCAACTAAAAAAAAATTAAAAATAAAATAAAATAATGTGTCCTCTACTGATCAAATACTAGGTTTGTAATCTAAGAACCCCAACAAGCGTCATGTTACTTTTTTCGATTTAAACAGGACTTGCTGTCTCTAAACCAGATCTTATTGCATTTCTGGAACAAAGGAAAGAGCCCTGGGATGTGAAGAGCCATGACACATTAGCCAAACTTCCAGGTAAGTGAGAGTGAATGAAACAGGTCTGCTCCAATGAAAATGGTTTCTTAAAAACCTGGGATTCACCGGGCTCGGTGGCTCAGCCTGTAATCCTGTGCCTTTGGGAGGCTGAGGTGAGTGGATTGCCTGAGCTCATGGGTTCTAGACCCGCCAGGGTAGTGAGACCTCATCTTTACAATAAATCAAAAAATCAGCCGGGCATGGTAGCGCGTGCCTGTAATTCCGGCTACTCGGAAGGCTGAGGTGGAAGGATCACCAGAGCCCAGCAGGTCAAGGCTGCGGTGGCCAGGGGCAGTCATTTCACTCCAGTATGGGCAACAGAGTGAGACTCCAACTCAAAAAACCCCCCAAAAAACCTGGGATTCTTTCTCTTGCTGTCACAAAGGGACATCTTCTATTCCATGTTCTGAAATTCTCCAAAAACTCTGCTTCTTCAATGATCTTTCAAGTTTACAGAGGAAATCAAAATCCACTTAATGGTTTGTTAGAAACTGCATGATCTGATTACCTTTCTGATGCTTTGGAGACGTGCAAGTGTTTGTTTCTTTATTTGGAAATCCATGTCAAACTTTTTTTACTGTTTTCTTTTTGCATCGTGGTTGGAAGTATGTGAGCAGTGATTTTGTTATCTGTTCGAGATTTTTTTTTTTTTTTTGAGTTGGAGTCTCACTCTGTTGCCCAGACTGGAGTGCAGTGGCCACTCCCGGCCACCGCAGCCTCAACATGCTGGGCTCCGGTGATCCTTCCGCCTCAGCCTTCTGAGTAGTCAGAATTACAGGCATGTGCTACCATGCCCGGCTGATTTTTTTGATTTATTGTAGAGATGAGGTCTCACTGCCCTGGTGGGTCTCGAACCCGTGGGCTCAGGCATTCCACTCACCTTAGCCTCCCAAAGGTGCGGGATTACAGGCTGAGCCACTGAGCCCCGCTTGTTTGAGACATTTTAACAACACTCTGGGCACATGTTACATGTTTTCTAATTTATGATTTTCTATACTAGGGAGATTTCCAATGATTTTATTTAAATTCATACTCAATAGTCCTACCCAAATACAAATTATCTCTCTTAATAGATGAAATCCTGATATTTTACTTAAATTTTACTTTATAGTATAGTGTGAGACTGGTAGTTTTTCTTTATATCCAAATATTTAAGTATATTATATCGTGTAGAGACTTGGTAAACATATATTGAACTCTTACATGTTACCTTGTATCTTAATAAGTCTTATTTTATAATTTTCTTTAGTATGAAGTTAGGATTAGCTTCATATATGCATATATTCAAACACATATGTATACATGTCTTTGTGTGATTAGCATCTGATTTTTTATACATAAATAAAAATGTATAACCATATGTTGTAAATAATGTAATAATTTCATATGCCTATACAGTGTGAAATGATGATTACAGTTATATTAATGAACATATCAAGCATCTTAGTTGCCATTTTTATGTTTTGTAAGGAGAACACATAATGTCTTCTATTTTAGCAGACTTTCTCAGCATATGAGACGCCATATTAATGATAAGTCACTATGGTACACACTAGTTCCCTAAGACTCAGTTATAACTCAAATTTTGTAACCATTGAAAAACGTCCATTTTCCCCCTGCAGGCCCTGGTCACCACTATATATTATCTTTCTATATGAGTGCAAAGTTTTTTTATTTCACAGGGGTGAGATCATTCAGGATTTATTTTTCCCAAGTTGGGGTCTCACTCCCGGCTGGAATGCAATGGCATGCTAATGACCACCACAGCCTCATTGCTGGGCTCAGGCAATCATTCCATATCAGCCTTTCAAGTAACTGAAACTACAAGCGTATGCTGCCACACCAAACTTTTTCTTGTATTTGTCATAGACCCGTGGTCTCACCTATGTGCCCAGACTGGTCTTCAGTGCCTGAGCTCAAACAATCCTCTCACTTCAGTCTCCCAATGTGATGGGTTTACAGACTTGAGCCACTGTACCCGTTCTCAGGTAGAATTTGTGTGTGCGTGTGTCTGGCTCATTTCAGTTAGCATAACGTCTTACAATGTCATCCATAACATTAAAATTGCAGGTTTCTTTAAAAAAATTTTTTGGCTGAATCATATGCTATTGTGCATATATGTGTGTGTGTATGTGTGTGTGTGTGTGTACATATTATTTTAATAATCCACACAGATTCCACAAATATTTGGGTTGTTTTTAAGCTTGGCCCTCTTGACAAATGCTGCAATGCCCATAGGGGCTGGAGACTTCTTTTTGATACTGATTTTATTTCTTTTGGCTATATACCCAGAAAGGGATTACTGTGTTATGTGGCAGTTAGTTTTTATTTTTAAAAGAATGTTGATAATGATTTTTATATGACTCTACCAATTTTATTTTTTTATTTTCTATTTTTTTTTATTTTTTTGAGTTGGAGTCTCACTCTGTCACCCAGACTGGAGTGCAGTGGCTGCTCCCAGCCATGGCAGCCTTGACCTGCTGGACTCCGGCTATCCTTCTGCCTCAGCCTTCTGAGTACCAGAATTACAGGCACGTGCTACCATGCCCGGCTGATTTTTTGATTTATTGTAGAGATGAAGTCTCACCAAGTTGCCCAGGCTGGTCTCAAACCCGTGGGATCAGGCAATCCACTCACCTCATCCTCCCAAAGGTGGGGGATTACAGGCTGAGCCACCAAGCCTGGCTGACGCTACCAATTTTAAACTCACCAAGAGTATACAGGATTTCTTTTTCTTCAGATACTTATCAAAAGTTCTCTCTCTTCTGGTTGATATTAGGCATTCCAACAGCTGTGAGACAATATATCATCATTGTGTTTCTTTGAAATTGCCTCTATTGGTGTTGGTCAGTGCCAATTCATATACCTGTTGGCAATTTGTCCTCATTGGAAAATGACAATATAATTTGGGGTTCTTTTTTATTCAAGTGATTATCATTTTCTTTCTTTAACATCTCATCAAGTATATGGTTTGCAGAATTTTTTCTTGCCCTGTAAGCCTTCTTTCTTTTCCCTTTACTCTGCAGAAGTTTTTCAGTTTGATGTCTCCAACTTGTTTATATACATTTTTTATCATAAAAAAATTATTACTAAGACCAATTTCAATATCAAGGATGTTTTCCAAATCCTTTTTATGTTTTTTTGTTTTCCAAATCCTTTTTATGGTTTATGTTTTATAAGCATGTTCTCTGTCACCCGGGCAGTAGTGTGGTGGTTCAAGTATGGGTTTCTACCTTTCATGTGAAAATTTCTCAAACATTTTTGTAATTTGCAGCTCCACAAATTATTGTTCTGTCCTTAATTGAGTCATTTATTCTGATTTTTTCTATGCTTTGGCATACTTTGAATTGGGGTATTTGAAATTCAAAGATATAGATGTCATAATGTTTATGATGTTGATTTGTCTAGATTAATGTAACACCAATCATTAAGTTAGAGATTCTAGGAGACTAATACCTGTTCTTAGGATGCGTCTTCTCTGTAAGTTGGGACAGAAACCAGTCTTTGCATAAACCCTCAAAGGACAGAAATGTGGACTCATACTCCACTCTTCTGTTTATTCCATGAGGAAGAATTCAAGAGTTAGAACATCCCATCTGATTGCATCATGCTGCAATGTAAAGGAAGAGAAATTATGGTGGCAAAATTACTAAACTTTCTCTTCCATGTACCTCATTTTGCCATGTGGATTCTGCAAAGTCTTAACTTTTTTGAGTTCTCACACAGGCAATGGGATAAGTATTTTCTTAAGTACAAATATTTACAGTGGAGTGGAAACCTGTGCTTTGTACGTGCCATCATACTTATGTCCTTACCATGGTATAATATTATGTTTTCTTTTCTTTTTTTTTTTTTTTGAGTTGGAGTCTCATGTCACCCAGACTATAGTGCAGTGGCCGCTCCCAGCCACCACAGCCTTGACCTGCTGGGCTCTGGTAATCCTTCTGCCTCAGCCTTCCATGTAGCTGGAACTACAGGTGTGACCTACAATACCCGACTGAATTTTGATTGACTGTAGAGATGAGGTCTTGCCAAGTTGCCCAGGCAGGTCTTGAACCCGTGGGCTCATGCAATCCACTCAACTCAGCCTCCCAAAGGTATGGTATTACGGGCTGAGCCACCGAGCCTGGTTATGTTTTATTTTCAAAGGATATTCACCTGAGTCTAGCATGTGGAATAATTTTGTTTTTATTTTCATGAATTTCAGCTTTGAATTCTCTTTTATTTTCATGAATTTCTTGAATTTCTTGAATTCTTTTTTATATTCATGAATTTCAGCTGTGAATTCTCATTACACTGTATGCCTTTGGCCAGAGAGCATAGAAACCTCCCTTGCAAAGGTGCCAATGGGAAAATATGGTAAATATGTCCTTAAGAACTTATGCTTACAAAAATCTTGTGTAAATGTGCATGAGGGTGAAGGGCAGTTAGAATGCTCAGTTTCAAATAACACTTACAAATGTAACAAGAGTAGGAAAGACTTTCATCAACACACTAAATTTGCTATCCACCAGAGTATCCACATTTCTGAAATGGTTTCAAACATGAATATGGCAAAACCAATCCTCAAAATGTAGTCAACATCAAAAAAAAGCAGAGGAAATATTCACAATATATGTGGGAAAGTGTTTAAGAAATCATCCTATCTAAATAGACATGAAAGAATTCATAGGGGAGAGAGAGCCTTCAAAGGTGAAAAATGTGGAAAAACACTTAGCTATTACTCATGTCATTCACAACATCAGAAAATTCATTGTGGAGAGAAACTCTATAAATATGTAGAATGAGCCAGGCTCAGTGGTACAGCCTGTAATCCCAGTGCTTTGGGAGGCTGAGGTGAGTGGATTGCCTGAGCCCGCGGGTTCGAGACCTGCCTGGGCAACTTGGTGAGATCTCATCTCTACAATAAATCAAAAAATTAGCCAGGTGTGGTAGTTCCAGCTACTTGGAAGGCTGAGGCAGAAGGATCACCAGAGCCCAGCAGGCCATGGCAGTGGTGATTGGGAGTGGCCACTGTACTCCAGTATGGGTGACAGAATGAGACTCCAACTCAAAAAAATAAAATAAATAAGATAAATAAATGTGAGGAATGTGGCAAAACCTCTAACTCTCATTCACATCTTAATCAACATACAGTGATCCATACTGGAGGGAAACCCTACAAATGTGAAGAGTGTGGCAAAGCCTTTCGCAGTCGTTCACTTCTTACTCGACATACGATGATCCATACTGGAGAGAAACCCTACAAATGTGAAGAATGTGGCAAAGCCTTTCGCATTCGTTCACTTCTTACTCGACATACAATGATCCATACTGGAGAGAAACCCTACAAATGTGAAGAATGTGGCAAAGCCTTTGACATTCATTCACTCCTTACTCAACATACAATGATCCATACTGGGGAGAAACCCTACAAATGTGAAAAATGTGGCAAAGCCTTTCACTCTCGTTCATGTCTTACTCAACATACAGTGATCCATACTGGAATGAAACGCTTCAAATGTGAAGAATGTGGCAAAGCCTTTAGCTCTCGTTCACATCTTACTCAACATACTGTGATCCATACTGGAGAGAAACCCTACAAATGTGAAGAATGTGGCAAAGACTTTCACTTTGTTCAAATTTTATTCAACATACAGTGATCCATACTGGAAAGAAACCCTACAAATGTGAAGAATGTGGCAAAGCCTTTCACATTCGTTTACTCCTTACTCGACATACAATGATCCATACTGGAGAGAAACCCTTCAAATGTGAAGAATGTAACAAAACCTTTCACACTCATTCACATCTTACTCAACATAAGGTGATCCATACTGGACAGAAACCCTACAAGTGTGAAGAATGTGGCAAAACCTTTCACACTCATTCACACCTTAATCGACATAAGGTGATCCATACTGGAGAGAAACCCTACAAGTGTGAAGAATGTGGCAAAGCCTTTCAAGTGCGTTCACTCCTTACTCTACATAATATGATCCATACTGGACAGAAACCCTACAAATGTGAAGAATGTGGCAAAGCCTTTATGTCCCGTTCAGATCTTACTCGACATACAGTGATCCATACTGGAGCGAAACCCTACAAATGTGAAGAATGTGGCAAGGCCTTTCGCTCTCAAGGAGGATTTGCTGGACATAAGACCATTCATACTGGAGAGAAACCCTATAAATGTGCAGAATGTGACAAAACCTTTCAGTTTCTTTCACATCTTACCCATCACACAGTGATCCATACTAGAGTGAAATGCTACAAATGTGAGCAATGTGGCAAAGCCTTTCACTCTCGTTCACTTCTTACTCAACATGCAGTGATTCATACTGGAGAGAAACCCTACAAATGTGAAGAATGTGGCAAAGCCTTTCAGTTTCGTTCACGCCTTACTCGACATATGGTGATTCATACTGGAGAGAAACCCTACAAATGTGAAGAATGTGGCAAAGCCTGTCAAACTCTTTCACGCCTTACTCGACATATGGTGATCCATACTGGAGAGAAAGCCTACAAATGTGAAGAATGTGGCAAAGTCTTTCCAAATCGTTCACGCCTTAGTCGACATACAATGATCCATACTGGAGAGAAACCCTACAAATGTGAAGAATGTGGCAAAGCCTTTCAATCTCGTTCACACCTTACTTCACATAGGGTGATCCATACTGCAGAGAAACCCTACAAATGTGAAGAATGTGGCAAAGCCTTTCAAAGTCGTTCACACCTCAATCGACATACAATGATCCATTCTGGAGAGAAACCCTATAAATGTGAAGAATGTGGCAAAGACTTTCGCTCTCATTCAAACCTTACTCAACATACACTGATCCATAATGGACAGAATCGCTACAAATGTGCAGAATGTGGCAAAGCCTTTACATCTCGTTCATATCTTACTCGACATACAGTGATCCATACTGGAGAGAAACCCTACAAATGTGCAGAATGTGGCAAAGGCTTTGCTTACAACATGAGTCTTATTGAACATCAGCGTATCCATACTGGAGAGAAACCCTACAAATGTGCAGAATGTGGCAAAGCCTTTAAGTCTCATTCAGATCTCACTCGACATACAGTGATCCATACTGGAGAGAAACCCTACAAATGTGTAGAATGTGACAAAGGTTTTGCTCAGAACTCGACTCTTACTGTACATAAGCGTATCCATACTGGAGAGAAACCCTACAAATGTGAGGAATGTGGCAAGGCCTTTCACTTTCACTCTGGATTTTCTCGACATAAGACCATGCATACTGGGGAGAAACCCTACAAATGTGAACAATGTGGCAAAGCCTTTCAGTTTCATTCACGACTTACTCAACATATGATGATCCATACTGGAGAGAAACCCTAGAGATGTGAGGAATGTGGCAAAGCTTTTCACTCTGGAGGAGGATTTTCTGGCTATAAAGACCATCCATACCAGAGTGAAACCCTACAAATGTGCAGGATGTGGCAAATGCTTTACTCAGTACTCGAAGCTTATTGAACATCAGAATATGCATACTGGAGAGAAACCCTACAAATGTGAGGAATGTGGAAAGGCCTTTCACTCTCACTCTGGATTTTCTTGACATGAGACTATGCATACTAGGTAGAAATCCTACAAATGTGAAGAATGTGGCAAAGCCTTTCACTCTCAGTATGGATTTGCTTTACATAAGACCATCCATACTGGGGAAAAACCTACAAATGTGAAGATGTGGCAAGGGCTTTCACTCTCATGTAGGATTTGCTAGACATAAAACCATGTATACTAGGGAGAAATCATACAAATGTAAAGAATGTGGCCAGCCAGGCTTGGTGGCTCAGCCTGTAATCCCATGCCTTTGGGAGGCTGAGGTGAGTGGATTGCCTGAGCCCACAAGTTCGAGACCTGCCTGGGTAGTGAGACCTCATCTCTACAATAAAATCAAAAAATCAGCCGGACGTGGTAGTGCACGCCTGTAATTCTGGCTACTTGGAAGGCTGAAGCGGAAGGATCACCAGAGTCCAGCAGGTTGAGACTGTGGTGGCCAGGAGCGGCCACTGCACTCCAGTCTGGGTGACAGAGTGAGACTCCAACTCAAAAAAAAAAAAGGAAAAAGAATGTGGCCAAGCCTTTTGCTCCCATTCAAAGCTTGCTGGACATATCAAGATGCATATACTGAGAGGAAAACATAAGTGTGAAGAATTGGAAATGACTTTTGCTCTCACAATGGATTTGGAAGACATGAGAGGATACATACTAGCTGGGCTCGGTGGTTCAGCCTGTAATCCCACACGTTTGGGAGGCTGAGGTGAGTGGATTGCCTGAGCCCGTGGGTTCAAGACCCACCTGGGTGGCGAGACCTCATCTCTACAATAAATAAAAAAAAAAATCAGCCGGACGTGGTAGTGCATGCCTGTAATTCCGGCTACTCAGAAGGCTGAGGCAGAAGGATCGCCGGAGCCCAGCAGATCGAGGCTGCAGTGGCCGGGAGTGGCCACTGCATTCCAGTCAGGGTGACAGAGTGAGACTCCAACTCAAAAAAAAAAAAAAAATTAGCCAGGCATGGTAGTGCATGCCTGTAGTTCCAGCTCCTTGGAAGTTTGAGGCAGAAGGATCACCAGAGCCCAGCCGGTTGAGGCTGCAGTGACCAGGAGCAGCCACTGCACTGTAGTCTGGGCAACAGTGAGACTCCAACTTAAAAACAAAAGAAGATCCATACTACTGAGAAACCTTACAAATGTAAAAAGTGTGGCAAAGTTTTTCACACTCTTAAAGGATTTGCTGGACACAAGACCATCCATAGTGGAGAGAAATCCTACAAACATGATGAATGTGGCAAAGCCATTTGCTCTCAAATGATTTGCTATACATATGAGGTGCCATACTGGAGAGAAACTCTACAAATGCAAAGAATGTGGCAAGCTAGGCTTGGTGGCTCAGACTGTAATCCCAGCACTTTGGGAGGCTGAGGTGAGGGGATTGCCTGAATCCACGGGTTCAAGACCTGCCTGGGCAACTTGGCAAGACCTCATCTCTACAATAAATCAAAAAATTAGCCGGGCATGGTAGTGTGTGCCTGTAGTTCTAGCTACTTGGAAGGCTGAGGAAGAAGGATCGCCGGAGCCCAGCAGGTCGTGGCTGCTGTAGCCAGGAGCAGCCACTGCCCTCCAGTCTTGGTGACAGAGTGAGACTCAAACAAACAAAGAAAAGAGTGGTAAAGTTTTTTTTATCTCACAAAGTGTTTATTGAACAGTAGTCCATTGATACTGAGAAAAACCCTACAAATGTGAAAAATGTGACATAGCCATTCACTCTCACAACGGATTTGCTGAACATATAATTATCCATACTGGAGAGAAACTCTACAAATGTGAAAAACATAGTAAGCCCTTTGCTCTCATATACAACTAGGTGGACGCATGAGAATCCATACTGAGATGAAACTATATAAATGAGAGGAATGAGCCAGGCTCTGTGGTTCAGCCTGTAATCCCACATCTTGGGAGTCTGAGGTGAGTGAATTGCCTGAGCCCGTGGGTTCGAGACCCGCCTGGGCAACTTGGCAAGACGTCATCTCTACAATAAGTCAAAAATTAGCCGGACATGATAGCGAGTACCTGTAGTTCCAGCTACTTGGAAGGCTGAGGCGGAAGGATCACCAGAGCCCAGCAGGTCGAGGCCACTCCCGGCCACTGCACTACAATCTGGGTGACAGAGTGAGACTCCAACTCAAAAACAATAAAATAAAATAAAAAAATAAATGAGAGGAATGAGATAAAGCCTTTAGCTCTTATTCCATATTTGGTTGACATGTGAGCATCTATATTTAGGGATTCCCTATAGATGGGTAGCATGGGGTAAACCTTTTCACTGTTATTCCCAGTTTTCTCAACATCAAACAATTTATACTCTAATTTTTCAGTATCTCTAATGACTGGGAAATCATATATCCTATTATAAAGAATAGAGACATGAGAAATTCACAGACGTAAAGAGTACCATTATCTTTACTCAAACCACAGTTCTTTTGAATGTACAAATGTAAAACATGTCTAAAGACATTAACCAGTCAAAACTTTGATATTAGACTGTGCATTGTAGAGACTCTAAAAATGTAAAGAATGTGGACTGCTTTTGTTCAAAATATATGCCATTGGAAATACTAGGGTATTCAGACTGAAAACTTTACAGATGCAATTTATAGGGAAGCCTATTTACTGAAAGGTCAAGTTGAAATAAATATCAAATATTGAGTAGCATTAGAAGATGGTTTTTTTGTTTGTTTTTTAGGAAAGCATAAGTATATTCTCTGCATAATTTTGGTTTTACATGGACAGAATTTGAGAATATTTTGAAAAACAAACAATATTGATGTAACTCAACTCACATGATGCTATGTCTTCATTTGTCGAATTATGTAAAGGCATGGGGTCAGTTGTTGGTACATCAGAGCTATGAAATGTCTTTTTATAAAAGATCACCAGCACTCATCTCATGTTTTTTTAATGGAGGATGAAGAGCACTGATATATAATCTCCTTTAAAAAATCAAAGTGAAGAAGGGTTTTTTTGGCTCACATTGAGCATTATTGTAAGTTTGGAATGAAGTGATTGCTCAGGATAACATTTTTCTTTGGAAATAAATGACAAAGAATCATTGAGAGATTTACAAATCTATTGTTTTACTACTTACATGCAAATGAGAAATGAGACCAGAACATTAATATCTTGATGCATCTTCATCCTATCAATACTTACAAGCCATAAGTGTAATTTGATATAATTTAAAGAAATACTTTCATAGACATCAGAGCAAAGATAATTGCTCTCTAAAAATGTATAAGTTTATGTTTGGTAAATAATCAGATTCAGTTTTTAAAACTGAAGAAAGCTGTTCGCACATGGATCACACTATCAGAAGAACAGTAATGCTTGAATATTTGTAATCTGGTTTTGCATACAGTGAAATTTGAAGGTTTATTTAGGCTATAAAAATTTGTTTATTTTAATGAACAGAATTGTTTATAGAGTATTAACATTTGTTGTCCACACAATAAATTGATATTACCATAACTGTTAATCTATTCTATCTTACCCAAGATTGTAGGTATATGATGACCATATACTATTGAGTAACTTATGGAAGGATGTTTCTAGTGATACTTTTTTTTTTTTGAGTTGGAGTCTCACTCTATCACCTAGACTGGAGTGCAGTGGCCGCTCCTGACCACCGCAGCCTTGACCTACTGGGCTCCGGCGATCCTTCCGCCTCAGCCTTCCAAGTAGCCGGAACTATAGGCATGCACTACCACGCCCGGCTGTTTTTTTGATTTATTGTAGAGATGAGATGTCGCTGCCCAGGCAGTTCTCAAACCCACGGGCTCAGGCAATCCAAAGGTGCGGGATTATAGGCTGAGCCACCGAGCCCGGCTTGATCCTTTTTTTTATAGGTCAGATCTTCTTTCTTTTTTTATGTTATATGTCACTCTGATTATCGTAATGAAGATTATACAGGAGTATACTTGTAAGACCTAACTTTCTGAATCCTGACTATTGTAAAAACTTACACATTAGGTTGGATTTTGGTTATGATGCCCAGGCTGGAATACAGTGGAAAATCCATGGTTACTGCAGCCTCAATGTAATGGTATCAGGCCATCGTTCTCCTTTAGCCTCCTGAGTTGCTGGTGTCACAAACATTTGCCATCATGCCCAGCCAACTATTGGATTCATTTTTAAAAGAAGGTCTCACCAAGTTGCTCAGGCAGGTCTGGAAGCCCTAGACTAAGGCAGTCTGCTGTACTTTGCCTCCCAAAGTGCTGGAATTATAGGCATGAGTTACCATCCCCAGTCAGTCTCTTGTTTCCTTTCTAGTCATCTGGCACCGTGTGGGAAGCACTTGTCCCCTCAATTCATCTGCCTCTAACTCCTGTAGTATGGGTTCTGGCATATCTTCAACATTTATATCTTGATGCCCTTCCCTTTCCACTGTTTTACCATAAATAAAATGATTCTTTGTAATTTCCATGATTCACTCTGGAGAGACCAAATGCTTGTATGGAAAAATTAACATTGCATGGTGTGTGAAACAGTATCTCGCAACACTTTCATTAATCACCTGGAAGCAGGAAGTTGTCACAAAATTATTGACTGATACACTTTGTGTCATAGCTAATTTTATGCTGTTATGAGTTAATACTGCATCTTTATTTATGCATTTCCCAACTGCTGATGGTGCTATGTATACCCTGTAAGTGCTTATAAACTTATACAAGATAAAGATATAGATTTGTATATCTTTATGATGGTAAAGGTCAAAATAGACAAGAACATACTTCTACCTGATGTCCTCATGACATTTTTAAAGTATCCCATTTCTTTTAAATGATCACAAATTGTCAAAAAAGAAATTCCATTGTAGTTGTTGAAAAAACATGGACCTATGCAGGTCAAACCC